GATAAAGAGAAAGACACGGATCAAGATCAAGGCATCAGAAGATGTCGATTGACATTACATTTGAAATTTTGAAGATTATAGCTATCAGGGAAGCAAGGGATAGGGAAAGGAGTTCCACTGACGGGAGGTGCGAGATAAGAAGCTGTTGGAGTAGAAGAGATGGCTACATTTAGATGTTTTGACAGTGAAAGGGCGGGACCGAGATGCCAACCTAGTAGCACGCTTAAATTCATGTAAGAATTCTTGCTGGTCTACTTACATTACAGGTTAATCGCATCTATAATATCTTTGGCATAAAATGACCCCATATGGATGGATACGCCATTAAACCTAACAATCCTATCCAAAATACCAGTGTATATGATTTTTTCTTTTTTTTTTGGAAAATTACATAATTCTCATATCTAACTTTCAAGTTCATTGAAAGAATAAGTATTGCCTATATTTCCAAATATAGTACATTTGGTGACTAGATATCATCTGACCTTGGACTATAGTAGACATTTTTGTGTCAATCTGGAAATGCCTCTGTCTATAATTCCTGGAGATTTTAGTGGGATGTTGGCGTATCTGTGTGTTTGTGTGTCATATTTCTAGTTGGTCTTACGGGTGCTGAAAAGTTCTTGGTTCAACCCACTACCTAAGATATGACCAAAAGGAAGTTATGTTTTTTTTTCAGCATATCCCTGTGTATTCATGTACAATTTGATGAATATTTTAATATCACGTTTATTACCTGAACTGGAGGATATTATTTTGACCGTTTTTTAATTTGTATCAATGAAGTTTAGACTTTGTTGTAAAATAGCTCCTGTCATTCATAAATGTTTTAGAGTAAAGTTGACCCAATACAAAGCGTTACAGGTAGTTATGAATGAAAGAAGAGATGGTAGGAAGTGTTAATTATGAATATAAAGAGGATGGGCAGCGATTGACTCTTGACTTGAAGAGGTTAAGATGGCAGTGTTAAGGTAAACAGCTGTGTTGTAGTCTTTTCAACAAGGTAGCAGTTATTGGGGGAAGGCTCCCCTTACATTTGGAATATGGAGGAAGTGAGTGTGATTTGACTCCGTGGAAATAGTATAGTATGTACTCGTTGCAGATGTCTGAACTGGTGGATGTTCACCCAATACATCAATAAGTACGTAATCAAAAGATTAAATCTGCTATGAAAACTGCTTTACTACCAAGAAAATATTTAATAAATTTAATATTTAAACTTAATTTATGAAAATGTTACTTTCTTATTAGGGTACCGTTTATAACATCAATTTTAAGAGAACAAACAAACACCCTAATGTGAAAGGAACATGATTTATTATGAAAAAAATATTTAGAAGGGATATTAATAAACACTTTCCCATCGATAAACACAGGCCTTTTCACATCACCGGCTTTCATAAAACCCATAGTTAATGAATTTAAGATCCGCATACCTGTGACCAATGTAACCTAAGTCTTTCACTCCTACACCAAATACCCCACCCCCAATCAACATAAGAACACTACCAGACAGAAACAAAATGATGCACACGTATTATCACCCAAATCCCGCAACACCAACTATATGATAGGAAATCACACAGACACGCCAACATCCCATTATCCAGGAATTATACACAGAAACACTACCAGACAGACATAAAAATTCCTACTCGAGTACAAACGTAGACGCGAGCATACACACAGACACACATAGTAACACCGCAAGACAAAGACACGTGATGTCACCTGACCAATGAAAAACAAACAACACAGTTACAACCCGTTGTAATAGTTTTCAGATGCAAGCAGAGATCAAGGAGTCTCTCAGGTTCAAATGTCACCAAGTTCAATTTGCCAGAGAGGTTGCACACACATACATACACACAATCAGACAGACACACACACACATCCCTCCCTTGTGAGTGAAACTAAGTAGACAAAACTGTTCAGAATCCCTTAAAGGCTGTGCTAACACAAAATCATAGATCATAGTGACTGAGGGTTTGAGTATACTGTTCTTGTACTTCATCTAATCACACCAGAATATTCACTCTCTCGCAGAAACTGTAACTAATTTCTACTCTGTATAGTTAACATATAAACCACAAGTTGGCTGTGGTAGATATTTGAACAGAAAAAATATTCCTGCAACAGGAATTACCTAACAAGCCTAGTAAGGTCTATAGTCTCCCGAAGCTAATGAATGTTTACTGTATTTCATTCCAATACGGTGAGACTCCTTATATCCACTAATTCCCTTGTGATAGACAGGAAAACATTTTCCTTGTATTCTAACCAGTAGCCAATCGGTAGAAGTTTCTTATATCCAATAGCCAATCAGTATAAGCTTCTTATATTTATTCAGCACCTATATCCTTATGAAAGGCACAAATACATTTCCTGTATTCTATCCAATAGTCAATCAGTAGAAGCTTCATTAGAAGTATTCATTTAGTACTAATTCCCCTGTAATAGGCATGAATACACTTTCCTTGTATTTCATCCAATAGATGATCACTAGAAGTTTCCTATATTCATTTACCACTAATTTCCTTAATAAAGGCATGAATCCACTTTCCCTGTATTCTATCCAATAGCCAATCAGTAGAAACTTATATTCATTTAGCATCAACGTCATTATGCAAGAAACGAATTCTCCTTTCTCTGCTTTTTGTACTATCACCAATCGGCTGAAACTGATTGTGTCGTACTTGGGAAAGGATTGGATTGACTTTTTTTCTGAGCACTGACGCACCTCCAGATATTTTCATTAGAATATCCTGTGACTGGCATGCCCCAAAGGTTGACGGGGGAGGGATTGGATGAGTGAACTTTAAGGGATTCTTACTCACGCGTTAGTGTCTTGACAGGAAGCATTCACAAAGAAATATCGACGTTAGTTGATAGACAAGTTGACATTTATAGCAATCTCTTGGTCTATGAATAGGCACCACACACACACACACACATATATATATATATATATATGCGTAGTATAAATAGATCTTCCCACGTGTAAATACACATGCGATTCAAAAGACGCACATTTAAATAATGAAAAAATACACTAATATTGTATTCAGTTTTCTGGTTTGATGGCGATGGGACAATCTGTTGAAATACGTAATGAACAGCCATATTGCAGCGTTTAAAATAGTTTTTTAAACATCGCATCTTATTGACCTGCAAACACGGTACATATTTGTCCACGCAAATGCGCCCACGATTATACAGATTTAGAAAGAAAACAACACATTTCCGCTTTTAAAGTTTAACGTCTTTATTTTATCGTGGTGATAATAGTTTCCATTGTGTGGGCGCGTTTCCCGTTTAAAATTACATGACTAAATGTTCAGAAGAAAGTGTGATCTAGAAAAGCCACCGAATTTGTCTTAATGCCGAAAACAAAAGAAAAAAAAAATTAACGATCCTAAAGTAAGAAAGTATAAAAATTAATATATATTTCTTCTTTCTTTTCCAAAATGTGGCACCAAAAAAATAAAGGTACCGGGGCCAGGAAGTTGTTTAGAGAAGGTAAGCAAAACAAAATTTGACGAGAACATCCGTTTCGGATAAAACAGCTGTAATTACCCAGCGTGCACTGCGCCATCATCTTGAAACTAAAGCTATAGGCCTCAGTTGTCGTCTACTCCGGCTTACGGGATTTTTTTTTTCTTAATAATGTTGTTTTTTATTTTGTTTTATTTATTCTTCCTTTTACATTTTATTTTTATTTATTTATTTATTTTTGTCTTACAGCAAAGGGGAAAACGAAACGTAATTAATCCAACCTAAAACCACAACGCAGGAAGGAATAAAATAAATGGTTAGAGCAATGAACTAAAATGGATGAAGCAGATCCAGTTTTTAATTTACATACGAGGACAGGATATAGACAAATATGAGTGAAAATTCTAACCTAAACGAGTAATTTGGCAATATAGTTTTTTTTTTTTTAAAAAAGAGGGAAATAAGTTAATTTTAATGCCTTCCAAAAAGAAGGCATTGCATTAAACTTGTATTTTCACAAGTTGGAAGTTTATAAAGTATGAAAAGGGACACCTCGACGTGGTGTAATGGTTAGCAAGCTTGATTCGCTAGAACAATTACGACCGAGTAGTGAGTTCGAACCTCACTGGGTGCCCCTTACTTTAGGCCTTGTGCCACATCTAAGCTACGCTTAAAAAATCACTATAAAGTATGAAAAAAAAAACTAAAATTTCAGCGTTCCGACACTTTCAGCATTTCCTTTCATTGTATAGTTATAACCAACGCTTGCGTTTTATATTCACCTTCTTACACATATATAATTTCATCAACAAAAAACATTAGTCCGATTAAATCAATTTTTTTCAAGAACAATCGACAAAAAACAATTAAATTTATATAAAGAATTGTTATTTGAAAAGAAAACGGGTTGTAATTGATTTCTTTTAGGTATAATATGTAATGAAAATTATGTAAAATGTTGACTACAATCTCCCAGAGGAGTATAAAAAGCAGCAGATAAATGACTGTATCATCCAGATTTTTGATAATCGGTATCACTCCGAGCAAAGCATTACAGCATAAGCGGTTACTTGTGTGGAGGAATTAAGATCAGAAACCTTAGTAATGAGTAGAAAGAGAAAAGAGCAGTCAGGAGGACAGCAGATAAAAGAAAAGCTTTAATACAACGCTGTATGTAAAATATTAACAACTCTAAGTAGAATCTTAAGCTTTATTTAGGCTAGACCTGGAAACAATAGCAATTATTGAGGTTGTCCCACGCTCCTCAAAACCTCCAATCTCCCGATTAGAGTCTTTGCTGCCGGATGTAATTTATGGTTATACCCGGGACTTCGAAATTCCAAAGTAACGATATCCTAAGATTCTTTCCCAAACAAGTGTTGTTTTGTTTTTTGTTTCTTTTTTTCTTTTTTTAATGTGTATGTGTAACATTTAACATGTAAGTTTTAAATTGCTATTTCTAAACAATGAAATAAAAGAAATCCGTATTTACCAGGAAAACGTACATTTTGTAGTTCGGCTCCAAAGAAAAAACACGATGCCAAGTGAAACAACCAGGCAGAGAGAGCTTAGGACAATGGCGGCAGTGGCTTTCTTTCCCGATTTCGGAAGTGTAGTGCTTCTTTCTGTTGATGGCAAAGAAATTTAAAAGAAATCAATAAATACATTTATTAATTTAATAATGATATTGTGTTGTATTAAATTATTATTTTCGTTTTATTAACATCTTGTCATTTTTTCCGAAATGAGAGATGTATAAAAGACGTAGTTAGTGAAATTTTGGTTGAGAAATGATACTGCATATTATCTGCGATTAAAATTCATAGCGTAAGCCTTGCTTAGTCTAGTACAAAGCCCCAAGAGGAGAAAATCGTATTTTCAACGGCACTATTTTCAATAAAAGCCAGAAGTCACAGGAAGTCAAATCTGGAGTACAGGTCTTTGTGGAGAGGGAATAGGGGCTGATAAATACCTTACACAAAATGAGAAAAACAGACGGGGGCATCATTATGAAAGTGTGATAGCCGCAATTTACACAAGCTCACTGAATGCCGTCTCATTACCGAAAGCAGTGAGTCCTCCGTATTCGCGGGGCTTAGGGACTAGAACCGGTCGGGAGTAATCAGAATCCACGAATACTTGTAACCCCACTAAAAGTGTTTATCAGTACCTATTTTGATTGTTACAACCCAATATGCCTTAAACTTTAATCCTAAACACTTTAGAAACATTTCAGATCATTTAAAAAACATTTTTTAAAAATAGTATTGGTGACCATACACTTGGCGTAAATTAACTTTCATACGTAGAATGACCGTTTTTAATTACTCATAGATCGATACAAACATTGAAAATACTGTATAAAATACATGTAACAAGACATAAAATATAAAGTTTAAAACATTTCTAAAAACAGAACTGTGATGATGCCCTCAGACTTAGCATAAGCCACTTTTCAGACCCCAGCAGCAGCCCCTAACAACAAAAAAAAACAACAAAGTCCTAATACTACGAATGTTTTTGTGTTTGTTTTTACAATGAAGATGTACAATTCTGCCAATTTTTACCATAATAATGGACAGTTATATGTTTTAAGTCACTTAAATAGCAGGAACATAATACAAGGAAATTTTAAATATGCTCTATCGAAAAAAATACGCGGATCGAGGGAGTTCTCAGCGAATAATTTGTACATATGTTCTTCAGAAATACACGCGTCGCGGTTTCTGTGAATAAGTACATATGTTCTAAAGAAAAATCCGCGAATGTGTGAAGCCGCGAAGGCTGAAACGCGAATAGGCGGGGTCTCACTGTATACGCCCTAACTGTTCTCACATGTGCAGGAAGGAACCTTCTGATCGTTTTCTGCATCAAGGCCGTACATTGAGATATGGGTAATGACTTTCCAATCAGAATTGAATACGATTTTGTGTTAAAGCAGCATTATTTTTTTCGGCTACAGTTTCTTCAAAGATACAAACTGGCGAGTTCGTTTGCCACAGATTCAATGTTTTGACGCTTCACCGTAGAGTACTGGTTATAAAGTTACTCTCGAGTTCGATCCTAATTGGGGTTCGCCATACGCGCGATCGGTAGCTAGGCTAGGATAAGCTTAATAATCTTGAAGCTGCCTGAACTTCCTAGATGAAGCATTTTCATAACTAAGATTTGACTATATTTCGTTTAATCTTTAGTGTTGTGCTAAAAAGCAACAATAAAGTCGTCACGCGAATGTGCGTGTAGCTAAACGGTTATCGGCGCAAAAAGTGGAAACGGTGAGCCGAGTTCAAGTTCCCGCTTATACGATTGCGTTTATTTTCGCACAAACGTTCCTAGGACAGGCATGAATTTATCTCTTCTTCCACCACAAACTATAGTTAAATAATAGGGTAGACTGGCCTTTCTATCCTTGGGTGGTAGTCTAGGGAAGAGTGCTCTGAATTCAAGGCCGTGAAGGGGACAAAAGAAAATCACTTCACTATTCTTTCCAAAAAGTCATGTCAATTCGCAGATAATAAAGAAATGGAATCCGTGGAGAGCCGTTATCTTCTTTGCACTGAAGGGATATGACATTTAAATAAGAAGGCTGTCCCAATCTACTATAATACCCCCCCGCGCCACAATCACTATGTTGCTAGTTTTCATTTCCTCTCCTATTGCTATAAAAACGTAGTATTTTTGGCCTCGTCACTTGACTATAGTTTGATCTTCACAGTGATCGCATGTTGACATCAGCAAGCTGAAGGGGTAACCAGATTTCTACGGGGATTTCGCACAGTTTTCATTGTGATTCTGCCCAGATTTCACGTATGAAATCCTCGTAGCCGTGGTAACTTCTTTGTTGAAAACTAACTTCAAGGCACAACGCAACAAACTCTTGATATCTAACAATGTGTTTAATGATAAAAAATTGAAGAATTTAAAAATTCATAAAGAGTTAAGAATTACTAAACTTTGTGTGTAACCTGGTTGACTGTTTTTCAGTATGAAAAATTATTCTAGCAGTAATTCGTAGTAATTTAAGGGACCTCTTTTCTTTGAATTCTTTGGTGACAGAACCTGGAGAAGGAAGAGAGTGACTATGAGCGAACTTAGTCTATCTTTGCATCTATTCTCTCACTGCGTCTGTATGCATGTCACTCTAAGTATTAGGCTGTTTACATGAGAAAATTTGAGCATTTCCGGTTTGATCTATTGCATGTTTGTGATAAGATATTCATGACATTCCTTTGTTTAAAATCAGATTACGTCTCTTGGAATGCGTTCATTCCTAAAGCTCCTAACATAAGATATAAATATTTTTATAGGATTTAAAATAAACATAACGACAATTCTTTGGGAATTGAAAATTTTTACAGGACCACAAATTTCGTGATACTGTCCCGAAGACAACTGGATATTTTGGGGGGAAGACCCAGACTTACTAAATCTCAAATCTTCCTAGACACGACGCCAAACAAATTGTATGGCTTTTAATTATTATTTTTAATTCGTTTTTTCTTGCCTATTTTCCTCGACATTTAATTAGTTTCTCTGAGGGTTTTCACGCTGTTACATCTCCCATGCTATAAAATGCTGAACCAGAGTTACCACCCTGTTGTATCCATTATGCATTAAAACGTTGAACAAGTGTTACCACCGTGTTATATTCTAGATAGATTAGAAGGTTGAACCGGGGTTACCACCGTGTTATATCCCTCATGCATTAAAACGTAGAACCAGGGTTACCACCGTGTTATATTCCTCGTGAATTAAAACGTTGAACCAGGGTTACCACCGTGTTATATTCCTCATGAATTAAAACGTTGAACAAAGGTTACCACCGTGTTATATTCCTCATGAATTAAAACGTTGAACCTGGGTTACCACCGTGTTATATTCCTCATGAATTAAAACGTTGAACCAGGGTTACCACCGTGTAATATCCTTCATGAGTTAAAACGTTGAACAAAGGTTACCACCCTGTTATATTACTCATGAATTCAAACGTTGAACCAGGGTTACCACCGTGTTATATTCCTCGTGCATTAAAACGTTGAACCAGGTTTATTACCATGTTATATCTCTCATGCATTTAAACGTTGAACGAGTGTTACCAGCGTGTTATATCCCTTCATGCATAAAAACGTTAAACCAAGTTTATCACACCGTTATATTCCCCATGCATTAAAACGTTGAACTAGCGTTTCCACCCAGTTATACTACAAATTTTAAGCAAAGCGGAATGGATTAGAATTTTTAAGAAATTGCCCTCAATGAGGTATGAAATATGGATTCAAATTTCGTTGGAGTCTACTTTTTAATTTCCTATTCTCGATCCTTACTTTAAAGGTTATATAATGTATTAAACTTAGCGTAGTATAGTATATAGCAATAATAAAAATGTATTACAGAACCTCGAATTCGTGAAATCTGTTAGTGTTAACCCAAATAAAACTGCCGAACTGGGAGTTCCACTATTTCCCCGCAATCTTTTGGATTTTTTATGTTGAGTTCAGATATCTGGCAGATTAATGTTTACCCAGATGCTGTAAACTACTAACACATGTACATAGCCTAACCCGATAATATCAAATATAATTAGAGCGTTTTATATGCCATCAATTACAGTATTTCAGGATTAAAATAAATATAAGATTCTGCAGTTGTAAAAGTTTTAAGAATATCGATTTTAAATTAAAACAATATTTAGTTAAGGATCAACAAGAGTTCTTTAAGTTTGTATATATATATATATATATATATATATATATATATATCATAAATTAACTGACTCAAAAATATGGTTCCATCGCTACACAGGAATTACCATGTTTCAAAAACAGAAACCAAAAACTTCAAATTCAATTATATAATTAAATTAAAGGCCCTAGTTCTGTTTAATTTTCAAGCGAACACCGGATTATATATCTTACTGTTTTTCTTTTGTTATAATATATATATATATATATATATATATATATATATATATATATATATATATATCAAGTATGTGATACAACTCAATTTACATTACATGAATCATTCATATAAAAAAACAGACATAGAAGTTAATGATATAAATGGCGAGAATACATCTTCGCAAACAAATTTAATAAAGTACATTAACCCCGAACCCGTAGATGAATGTTATGATCCCTGTTTATAAATTCCAGTTGAATAAGGTCTTTTTATTTTTTTTTCCAAGCTTTCATCTGTGCATACAGACTTCATCAGGTCTGGAAATAGATTTGTTTTTTACATCCCGGTAATAACAGGACAACGAAAGAAAAGATGTAATCCGAAATATGTTTTTAGAAATGTGTTAAAATTAGAAAATTTTTTTGAGCGTTCAATCGCAACGCCTAGGTTGAAGTTTTTTATATATATATATATATATATATATATATATATATATATAGAATTGTACAAAGTGAGTACTGGTAGTAACAAAAGAGTACTTGATGTAAAATAACAAAATTAAAAAAATTATATATATATATATATATATATATATATATATATATAGTGGACTCTCCTATCATGAACAAAAAATGAGGGTCTGCAGTGGACGGTGCCTTTCGTTTTACACTTATGCATGCTAACAGGGGCTATTGTGGAGAAAATCAGGTAACGGAATGACATA